CTGCTCTCTACAGACCTGCCAGGGCTGCCAACCACGAGGTCGGAAGGCCGACGAGGGAGGTGAATTGAACGGCAAATTAGTCGCCTATTCATTTCAAGAGGGCACAATGGAAAATGAGGAACAATAAAAAATAATAGCGGGGAGACGAGTGGGCTTGTTGCCGCTCCTGACTAAAATTATGCCGGAAGTACATCGAGCAAGCAGAAATCCTGTTTTGATTGAAAGAAATGAACTTTAAATAATGAGGGAATAATGAAGGAATTACGATGCAAAGAATTAATGCGCGATATAAGTGAACACTTATTGTGGCGTGACTTCGGAATTTCGACGATTGCACAAAGTGGAGAAACGAGTGGTGAGAAGCCTGCTTACATTTTTCAAGGAAAGATAAAGAAAGATAGGCGAGTGATTTGCCTCGTGCATAACTCGTCGATGAGACTAACGTCGGAACTAATAAAAAGATAAGCAGCGAATCATCCAACCATTCTGACAAGCATGACAGAAAAGATAAGCGAATGAGTTGTCTTCGAAGCTAACGAGAGGATAAGGACAAGTTTGTTCGCGTAATTTTCTCAATAAGAGATAATGGAATAAATGAGAATAATTCGCCACGTTTCTTAATTGACGAATAATGAATTTGATATTACAGGAACGGAGAAAATATTTTTTCAAAAAAAAAAACGCAGAATTTTCATTCAACTCTCTAAATTTTTTGGAATGAATCTCACTCCTTGGAATGAGATTTTACTCCAAAAAATTTAGACATAACAACATAGAAAACAGACATTGAATATGAGACCGTAAAATAGAAGTAAAAGATTATTTTTGTGCAATTTCGCATGTTAAAAAAAATAGCGTATATAAATTTTAAATGTGAGAATTTACTTTTGTATCATTCAAACGCATGCAAAATTGAACGAGTAGCTAGTCGAGTAGACGGAGAAGAAAAAGCGCGATATTGTCGATAAGCGTCTTTATCTTGCACCGTGTGTTCACAAGAACACTCGAGAATTGAGTCATCAAAATGTATGTATGTTGATAAAGTTGTAAGAGCATCTCTCTAAATCCGATCCACAAAGGGTCTGCACGACAGCTGTTTCTAATCGACTGGAAAGACGCAGGTCTGAAGATTATCAAAAGGATTTGAAATCCGATTTGGAACGAATATATATATATATATATATATATATATATATATATATATATATATGCTCATAGTGCTGAATAAACATAGAAAAACGTGGTATTAGTCATCGAAGAATTCATGGAAAATTCATCTAGTCTTTAAATAGATTTACAAACGCGAAATATCGGACGAGCAAAGATACCTAAAAAAATCCCAGAAGACTCATTGGTTTATCAAAAATATATATCGCGTCAATGTAAGTGTCGCGAGGACCAAGAATTGGGGTACGAGAATTTTCGAATCATAAAACGTCGCCGCGTTCATTCATGCGCGTAATACAAAGATAGTAGACTAGATACGGCCTCGCGGAACGAGCGGCTGAAAGAAAATCTATTCAGAGCGTCTATTCATAGTCCGATAAGCGTTTTGAAGTCTGCCGTGCAACAAAGGAGGGCCGATCAAGAGCTCATGTGCGCCGACACGGCCGTTTAAAGGCGGATATACAGCGATGCGCTCCGCTCCGCGCCACGACGGCACACAATCGCGCGCGAGAGGAGGCGCGTTTAATGGAACAGAACGGGTTTTTCAACCAGGTGTTTTGTGTGCCGGCATTCTTCGAATTCCCCCTTGAACACACTCGTGTAGCGAACATCCGATTATCTTAGAAATCCCAGGACACTTCGTGACGCCGAGTCACAATTCTAGACTATCGCACCACAAAAGAAGGGATTGTCTCAATGTTGTTGCGTTATAGAGACACTCGAGAACCATCGTTTTTTTCAAATCAAAGCGAAGAGACGAGACCCGTCTTCTCGTCAAGAAGAACGTCTCGAGACTCGAGACAATTTTTCCCTTCGTACGCGGCGAAAAAATTATCGCGAATCGAACTAAACTGTCAAGTCACCGACGCACAGGAGGGATGATATTAATAGATCCCGATTAGATTTTACACGAGCAGCTTGATTAGATCTTAGCAAACGCGGCGCGCGTCGAGCTTAAAAATAGCTCAGACGCGCCTCGCCAATTAATGAGCAACAATAAAAAAGAGCATGCTGAAAGATACAAGATATATTTCCTATTCTTAACTTTCTCCCTATCCCCTCCCTCTTGTACACCCGCGCAACCCGTGTGTGTGTGTGTGTGTGTGTGTGTGTGTGTGTGTGTGTGTGTTTTGTACCTTTTTGCGTACACCTCGCGCGCGAAATATTTAGAGAGCGCATGATCGCTGTCGGAGCTAATAAAATCGCCTATCGGTCGAAGCCTCCCTGAAAACGTCAGAAGCGTGACGGCGTCACACGCCTGCCCTCGTGCACGACAAAGTCGGTCGTGTGTGCATGTGGCACTCCGCGGACTCGACTCGACTCGAGCCGGCATCGATCGACCAGGAGGTAACACGCGTGCCCCTCGGAGTGCCCCTCGACGCGGACGAAGGAGTGCCCGTTGCATTTCCGAGAAGGCAGAACTTCCGGAGCGAGAGAACGAGAGAGAGAGAGAGAGAGAGAGAGCAGCGACGCGATCAGCTCTCTCTCTCTCTCTCTCCCTCTTTCCCTTGAAGAGACGACGCGTAATGGCGAGGATTGCTCGCTCGCTCGCTCATTCGCCATATTCCGAGCCTTAACCCCTTCGCATATTCCCTGGGCACGAGACTCGGGAAGGGGAATGTAGAATTATTAAATTATTAAATCCGAATTGAGAGCGAATTAAATCCGAATTAAGACTGAATTAGAACAAAATAATTACTCCCTCTTTTCTAGGTGTACAAAAAAAATAATGCCATTTTATATGTGTATTACATGTGATTACAATATGTACAAGCGATTAGTGTTTTCAAAATTTTTATACATTTTTTGCTTAAAAAAAAATGTATAAAAAGACTCTGGAAATGATCTTATTGTAGTTTATAGAATGACAAAATTAATTTCGCGGTTTGCGAGGCGACTTATTGTTAGCCCTAGAATACCGACAATCAGTGAGGCACAAGTGCCACGGTATTGGAAGCACGTGCTCCGATATTTTGGATCAGCACACATTCTTTTAAACATTTTTCTTCTGACTTTTTTTTTTAATTCAAGATTCATTGCTACTCCATTTTTAGGATTCACCACCAGTTTAAAATATTTATCGAAATGAGTTTCTACGTTTCTTTAATCAGCTTTCCAGGATATTGTCAGCATTCTAGAGTTAACAGATACAGATGTGCGACGCAGCGGAGGAAGGGGGAGGGAGGCAGAGCTGTCGAGAGGTGCGCTGTTCAACTTGGAGCGAGTTTTTCCACACTGAGAGAATTCCGCGAGAAGAACGCGATAACGAATTTCTCGATAGCAATTACACGCGAGTAATACCTCACCGCACGGACGCGGAATGCTCGATGAAATCGCCTAACGGGAACGCCGCGCGACGACGGGGGAGGCGCGCGCGAGGACCCGCACGTAGCGAGCGTCCCCGTGGAGAAGAGCGTGGCGTCGAAGGCACGTACTAATTCCGGAATTCGTCGAAGCAAGAGGGCACGCGCGACGAGAAGGGCGGCGGGGAGGGCCCTCTTCTTCTCGTGCTCTCCCTGCTGCGCACGAGGAAACCGTGCGAGCGACAAAGAGAGGAACGCCCCGATCCTCCACCTCCTTCTCGTCGCCTCGCCTCCTCCTCGTGCGACGGAAACTTAGCTCCAGAAACTTCGCTCCGGTTTTTTAACTTTTCACACGCGAGAAAGACAGCCCTCCTCGACAGCCGAGACAGACCTCTCGCTCCGCCGCACACGTTTAGCTAAAGTGTCAAACGTGGGAGTTGCGTGGGCGACGGCGAGCCGCGAGACGCTTCGCGACCAATTCCACTTTTTTTTTCGCTCCGTTTCACGGGAAGAAACAGAGCCCCGCGGACGAACGGAAACGCTCTCGGACGGACGGACGGACGGCCGAAGAGAGAGAGAGAGAGAGAGAGAGAGAGAGAGAGAGAGAGAGAGAACACCCCGACGCGAAATCTACTCCGCGGCCGCCGACATGACGCGCCGACCTACGTGCCCGCACGGGGTCTCCGCGCGGCCCCCCGAGAGACGAGGCGAGACGAGCCTCGGCCCGACTCGGGGGACTCGAGAGAAGATTCCCTCGCGGGGCCGCGGTAGCGCGAAACGTGGCCGACCGCGGGTCAGCCGCGCGGAATAACGCGACCCGCACCGTCGCGCGATCGTCCCGCACGCGTTTCGCCGCACCCACGCCGCTCCGCACCCGTTAATTCGCCGCGCAAAGCCAGGAGAGATCACAATAGCGTTTACTTACGGCCCGACCGTTGTTGTTTCTGAGGCCTCCGCTTTCGCAATCTGTCGGTCGCGCTCGGCAACTTCCGCGGGACGCGTCTGGTCAAGCCAGCGTTCGACGCGCGACTGTGCCGCGGTCGCGCGACGTGCGATCGTCGCGCCGGGCGATCGGAAAAATCGTCGCGTTATTATCCCGTCGCACTTTACGCTGCCGCGCGACGAAAATTCGCGAAATTAGGCACGTCGCGGAGTCGCCGCTTGACCTCGCCGGTGATGATACCAATGGACGGTGCGTCAGACACCCTACCGCGCGAGTCGTGGCGAGCGGAACGTCCGTCGTTCCTCCCCGCGCGCGTCGAGTATCGTCGCGAGTGAGTGTCCGCGCGCGTCCGCCGCGGCGAATTGCCGTCGAGCCGATCTCGCCGATCGCCAATTCGAAAATTTTACTCGCACTTTCGATCCGCGCTGGACCGACGATTCCGGAAGTCACCTGGTCCCCACCTCGACTTGACTCCGGTGGTGCGCCGTGAAGTTACACCGGACGGAAATCGAGAGTCTCGTTCACGGAGAGACGAGACGAGACGAGACGATCGGGGAAGGGGGGGAGGGGAGGACGATCGCGAGAAAAAATTCGCGGACTCACTTCGCGGGTGGAGCGACCGCGCGCCGTTTCCCCTGTTAAGTACCGTCGCGGTCGCGGCCGTAGACTGAGCGACGGGAAAAAAGATAACCTCGCGACACGGCGCCGGGAGTTCGGTCCCTCCCGCTACGTCCACGGACGGGAGCACAAAGGGTCTGTTGTCACACGGCCGGTGCTCCAGATCGTTTTGGGCAAACTGTCAGTTTCTCGAGGGTCTCGGGCGCGCAGGTAGATATTTTCGTGCGTTTTTAAATGTGATTCCACGGGGGGCGATCTACATTTCTATATTTAAGGACACTTGTGATACGCGGATTCAGGTTAGTAAACGGACTCATCTCGGCGTGTCAATCGCCCTGAGCCGTGCCCCGCACGGGACCTCTTTGTCTCCTCGCTCGCTAATTTAACCCCCTTGGACTTGGGTGTTTTTCATAGAGATTTCCATCCCCGTTCACTATTAAATCCCTTCCTACGTGTGTGTATGTGTGTGTGTGTGTACGTGCGTGTCTCCTCCGTCGAGGTCGTCGAGAAGCGTCACTCGTTGCTCTCGTAGATTTAGCTCCGCGACCGTGACGTTCGCGTGCCACGGTATTTACAAGTGTCTAAATATCGCGAGAGAAACGAGCGACGACCTTCCGAGGATAATTTCTCGCTTGCTCGAATTAATTTTGCTTAACGTTAAATCTGTGCGCCTTGTTAACAAATTTATACGATCTCAAACATTTGGGAGTGTACAGAGGGGAGCGGTTTTTATTTTACATTTTTGATAAGCTAATAGCTGGGAATACTATTAGTAAATATTAGCAAAGTAATCTATATGTAATGACATTCATATTCATGTGCTGACGTGCTAATTCATTGAATTAAATATTCATGTAGTAACATATGAGAAGCCACATTATAGAGATATTGGTATATTGTAACAAAATTGCTATTGAATAATTATATTACTTGATATAATTACTTGAATTAATTATCATTTTTAAGAAATCTTATATTTCTTTGTGTAACTTTATATATCATTGCTTTTTTTTACTTATTCTAGATTTTATTCTTTTTAATTTTTGTAAAAGGCAGCAATATTTTAACATTAATAATAGATAATATATCAGAGTTTGAAAACATTTCATATATAAATTTTCTATATGTAGAAATATGTAAATTCTCATATGTAATTTGTGTAGCCACTTAAGATTCTACTTTAAAAGCTAAATGAGATTTGTATCCACTTAAGATTCTACTTCAAAAGCTAATTTCCCTTACAGAATGGCTCAGCGTCCTCAGAACTATGGGTCTACGGATCAACGGGTGGATGTACCTGATGTGGGATTTAGTCCTACTGAACTTTATAATCGCTGTGAAAATATTACCCTTAACATACGTAAGATTCAGAAAAATTGGAAGACTTTGGAAGAGGCATACAAAAACATCGGTACCAGCAAGGATAACCAAGGCTTAAGAGACATAGTGTAAGTACCGTCGAAATAATAATTATAACAGTAGGAGTACAAAGGTCAATATAACGATATTTCAGAACAATGCATTGCCAATTTAAATTTGGTTTATTCATACCTTTCAGGCATGTAACACAATTGAAGACCAATGAGGTGGTCACGCAGATAAGCAAGGACATAGCGAGACTAACGGTGATGATGAGGCGTGGGGAGAAGAAGCAAAAGTTACAAATTGAGAAACTCACGACGGACTTTAAAGAGGCATTACAGCAATATTCCGATATGCAGAAGGTATGCAGAAGATGACACATGTCTCTGAATATTCAAGTAGTCGTAATTACAAGGAGAATGTAATTACGAAACTTTCGTTTCGTTTGACATTAACGACGAGATATTCTTTACAGTCAATTGTTGAGAAGATGAAGAGACATATTTTAGCTATGACCAATATAGAAAATTCAATGGAAGAGGAGGATGCTGAAGAGACACACCGCCTACTTCTAACACAAGAGCAAGAGCACAGGACCACGCAAAGGTTTGGAAATAACATCTTTTTGCATTTCACACATGACAATGGAGTATCTGCGCTCACAAGTAATGCAGAAAATCTTACCTATTTACTTAGTTGGAACAATAACAATGGTTTTCGTTGGTTGCATTTTGGACAATGCCGTAAGCATAGAAGCTATCGTGATTGTATCGGCTAACGAAGATTGTAAGATTTTCTGGATGAGATAGCGATATACGTGTGGATTTTGTAGCATGCCCGTGAAAAAAAAGATAGACTGAGCTTAAAATTTCAGTGAAAAGATTAATTAATTACGCGACATGTATTATTAATATAGAGAAGTTATAAAATTGTGTATGGTAAGTCAGTTTCAATCTTGTAAAAAGAGAAATGACAAAGTTAGGTATTAGAAATGGTGTGTGATCGATGTATATTGTGGCATGTACAGGACACTCGAATTTCAACACGGGCTACTGTTAGAGAGAGAGGATAGGATAAAACGTATTGAGGGCGATATTTTGGATGTAAATCAAATTATGCGCGAACTCGCGGCACTGGTGCATCAGCAAGGTGATACCATTGGTAAGCATCCTCTTTTTGCTACTAATAGTCTTGTAGATAACAGCTGCAATTTTTTAAATGTTATACGAAAAAAAATACAATATGATATATAAAAAAACAGTTCTAAATCAGTCGATATTTGCCCTGTTACAAAATACACACGCTTGATAACGAATGTAACAATTTTCTTCCTAGATACAATTGACAACCATATAGAGAATATACACGGCAATGTCGAGTTAGGAGCGCAGGAACTCGAGAAGGGAAGTAATTACCAAAGTAAATTTCGTCGGAAAGTTTATATCTTATTGTTACTTGCGATTATAGTTGCCATTGTATTAACTGTTATTCTAGTCATTAAATTAAGTTAGCGACTCTTGCCTCTGCGCGGGTCTTACTGATGAACGAAAAGGGTTGTCTCAATCTGTCTCATATGTCGTTTGAAAGTAGTTTCTTCAAGGACCATCTCGTTTTTGCCCATTTCTGTATATTGGAGATGTAACGAGGAGAGTATAGAGACTTATTTTATATCTTACGAATGGAATTGTCTCCTGTATTTTTGGAGATGTTAGCCATTTTGAAATTTTATAAAACAGTATTTAATAATTTCACATATAAAATATGAATTTTTATAGACCTTTTTTATTCTGTTTTTACACTAGCTGAATTATTATTGAATAAAATATTAGAGCATCAGTAAAGGCTAATAATACCTTTATCATTTTTCTGACATGCCTATAATCTTATAATGTATACAATAGTTACTTGAAATAATATTAATTTTTCATATTTAAATACGAAAGATTTCGTATTCTGAAAACAAAAAAAAATTCTATTTATCAAAGTATTACGTTAATATTACACGTGAAAAAAATGTTTTTAACGTCATATGCTTCAATAGCTTTAAACTTCCCAATGGTGATACAAATATTCGTGTCAATAGCAGAAATTTGCTAATATCGGTTTATAGTTTGAAAACATATTGTTGGTATCATATATCAACTTGACTGATGCGTTTTCTTAGCAAGATCTATCTAGATATATTTAATATATTGCATAAAAGAATTATATTCTTTACAAAAAATTTATAAACAGATTTATAAATAGGCAGAAGATGTTTCGTATATAAACACGAAGTTGCACAAGGAAAATTATCTATTTATTGTCGCCACATGAGAAAAAATGATATTAATGAGACGTACATATAATTATAATCAAACTAATACAAAAAAATGTTGCATACATGTATTTTACTCGCATTTGATATATTTTCATATATTGGTCTGAATTATTGATCAGAATGAATCAATATTATTACACATATGAGTACTAATCGTAATTAATAAATTGCTGTAACTGCAAATCAAGCCAAACTAGATAGACGAAAATTGTATGATAATTAGCACTGTAATTGGCATATAATCAATTATAGGAAGGTACTCTTGTGGCAACTCTTGTAATAAAATTGTATTGTACAATTGACTTAAGTTAATGATTTAAATTATATTTTCTAAATAGCAGTGTTAAAAAAAATTATGTCTACTTTGTTATACATTTAAACTCGAATTTTTATCCCATCTAATAAATATAATTCCAATTTTATTGGAAGTGTTTCTCGTAAAATATGCAGGTGCTAATTAACTTTTTGCAAATAATGATTTTATATTATTTCATTATATATCTATATATATTATATCTACATAAAATAATTTTTATCAGAAATATATTTGAAAAAAGGATATATTCGTAGAAACGATTAAATTTCGTAGAAAACAGAAAAAGTGTTTTTTCCCAGGAGATACTGTAACATTGTAATAAATATACGCAAAGTATTAATGTACGTAAATTTTGTTTAAGATTTGGGGGATATTGCGCCATAGATTATTTTATCAATGCTTTTTTTATAATTATATTATTAAAAAATGCCGCCTATAATTAAAATTATGTACTGTCAGAAACACAAAAAATTTGATTGAGACAGCCACTTTCTTACGATTACTCGATTCTGATATGATTAGGCATTCCGGATCTTAAAAATCCAACGTATAATTATTAAGATTATAATCTGAATATTGTATATACAACTAATCATTAACATCATTTAAATAAATAGTGCTATGATAATGATATCGATACTTACGCTTAATATCAAGTATAATAGCTTTATTATCGTTGTTGATTTGTATGTGCTAAATTAATATTAGGCATTAAATTATGTTTTGTTCTTTGCAAATAAAAGTTTTTTTATACCCTGTATATGATTATATATAATATATTGATTTGTATCGAGAAATATAAAAATACATTTAAAAAATGCCTAATGTTCGGCATTCTATGGAGCAACACAAGTGAAGTGTATAAAGAAAATATACATATAGATAAGAGATATCCACTTTTATTGACTTTCCAAATCGCCAGTAGAAAAATATCAAAAGTTTAAGTATTTTTTATTATTTTTTACGTCCAATAACGGACTTTTTGTTGCATAACTTGTATTATAAAAAACTTATTTCTGTAGTAAGATATATACATAATGGTCAAAACTTCTGTCGTCAGAAAGTTTGTATTTAATGATAGATAAAAATCGATTTCTACGACATGTGAAAAATTAATATTTCGTATAAATTTTTCTTATACTAATGCAATCTTATTTACAAGGCCATATTTTATGAAAGGCGCGATTCTCGTAAAACAGAAAAAAAATTATTTTCATAACTTATAAATACAGCATATATATATATATATATATATATATATATATATATATGTGCTGTATTTATAAGTTATGAAAATAATTTATATATATATATATATATATATATATATATATGTGCTCTATAATGTTAGTTAATTTAATATACAATGTACACATATATAAATACGTTCTCTTAACAAAATTCAAAATTGTTATTTAAAATTATTGCGATGCAACGAGACTTATATGCGTTCTTTTAAAATACAACAATATCCAATTTTGTGTCAGTAACAGTCTTCGTATATAAAATTAAATCTCAGTATCTTCTAAAATAAAAATCCATATAAAATTCCTATTAATTTTAGCTCTTATATAATTCCGTATCTTATAATGCAAAAGTGTATATCTATGATTTTATTTTGTTTTGTTGTTGAGATCGCCTGGCTTTTATTCGTGATTGCAATGTAAGCAGTAGACCTGCGAGAACGTCGTGATTCGGTAACTTTTTCGCGAACAACAAACGCTTGACTGAATCATCATAAGTCAAAAGAGCCACCATATTTTGCAATAGAAATCCTTGACAGTATTCTAAGAGCTGTGCCGCGTTATATACCTGTAAATTGAATTATACGATTGATTATTAAATGATAATCTAAAATACGCAATTATGATGAGAATATATGTTATAAAAATATACCTTTGCGTGAATATACATAGAAACAATATTGTCAAGATCCACCATCGTGGAACACTGTGCTTCACAGTATCTGAGCAAGCCGTCGAGTTGAAAGAAATTGGCTGCTGCCATTAATTCCAGTACATCACTTTGATTAACTTCCAAAGTGGCGCAACCGCCATGATAAAGAAATTCCATAACCATCTGAAAATCGAAATATTTTTCTAAGGACGATCAATTTAGCTTGCCTTTAATTTTTAATTATTTCGAATGTATAAATTATTAAAATATCATTGAATAGGAGATAATATCAATGTGAAATATATATATATAAATAATAACAACAATTGCATACCTGGAATATGTGATATCTTATATCATTAATTTGCACAATAGGAGGATTGCCTTCGCATAGTTTGGAGCTTAACATATTCCTAAATCTCGGGGAAGATGTAACCAGTACGATTTTATGACCGTAGAAAACGCGACCTTCGACTCTAAATTGCACGTCGCTTAATTCTGGATTATTCACAAATTTCGGATCAATTCTTGATCCACTCGAAAGTGTAGTATCTCTAATCGGCTTGATCGGCTCCCATCCGAAACACGTGCAAAATATATCAGCAAGCAAGAGCGTCGTGCCTTCCTTCTGTAAAAATTATACAAACCGTACATCTTATGTAAACAACATTAGTGCAATTTTCTTTAATAAATTGCATTAATTTATTTACAATGATTTATAAAAAATCTGGAAATCTGGAAATAATATTTATGAATATATGATTTACCTTACTGTATCTAAAAATATTGAATAAAAGTGGTAAACACTCCTGCACGAATTGAGTAGAATAATCGTCCGGGCAGACTTGAAGAAAATCTTGAAGTAGTTGATCTATAACCGAATCCAGTCGCATTTCATGAGCTGTCGCGAGACTGTGCATCCAGCAATGTAACGTCCAGCCTACTTTTAGCCCACGAAGTTCCATAGTAATATCTGTTAATCATAGTAAAAATCGTAATTATATAAAACAGAAATTAATGTATTTTATTGTAATGTATAATTTATACGCATAAGAATTTTATTATATTCTTACCTAAATGATTGCTTTCCGCGCTGTGATACATCGCTTCCTGTAGCGCCTTCGTTTGTATCTTATTGAATACTGGTTCCTTGCCTTCTCTGCGAGCTCCTCTTCCTTCGGCAGTCTGCTGTTGAGAATTATTACCGGCGTTACCTTCCGCTAATATCTCTTCCAAAGATAATATCTCTTTCTCTCCACGCTTGGCCGAGAAATTGAGAGGATGCGATAGCAATTGATGAAGACAGCTTCTCTGACCATGCGCTGTAGCCACTGAGATTGCGCTATTTATCGAATATAAAATTTAAAATTAGTTCATTCTATCTATGTGCATTCTGATCTGATCTATTTTGATATCGATGATATGTTAGTTAATATTACAAAGTTTTATAGTGATATACAATAAATTGCAGCTCACTGTTTAACAACAATTGATCGCGATAATAATTAATAAAATATTAAATCTTACCTGTAACAGCCACGTTGCACGGAACCCGAGTAGGAGAACGAATCCTTGATCAGGGTGGATAGAAAAGGCTGCGCCCCGTGTGCCAAGAGTAGAGCTACCATCTCGTTGTTACCCGATGCCGTGGCCGCTTGCAGAGGCGTGACCGTGCACTTATCCTCGCTGAGTTTCGCGCCGCCTTCCACCGCGGCACCTCTCTCCAGCAATATTCTGGCAATGTTGCAATGGCCCAACAGAGCTGTGTAAGTCAAAGCGGTCCAGTGTTGCGTCTCCGCGTTGAAGGCGGTCTGCGCGTAACACATGCCGCTGGGGATAGGTCCTCCGCCAGGACCGTTGGGACTGTTAGACGCTACGTTCGCGTTCGGCGTTTTACTGGGCGTCATCATTGCCGACTGATTGTTCGGACTTCTAACGTTCGATACCCCGGACGTTTGTGGTATCTTGGCAGGTGTGTTCGACGACGAGCTCGTCGTGGGCGGTGGGCTTTCAATATTCAAGTCCGCCCCGGCGTCCAGTAGAGCCATCACAGCTGATTCATCGCCGTTGATGCACGCTAACATCAGAGCCGTGAATCCGGCGTCATTCACCGTGTTGATCTTTGTTGAAGGCAGCAACGGCATTGCCTGGGCTATGAGATCCGTGCGTCCGCTGGTCAACATCTTGAAGGCCATGTCCAGCGTCAGCAATCGAACGTACTCGGCATCGTCGATGCGCTTCGAACATACTGCGATCTCCTCGGAGCTGCGTATATCATACAAAAGCAAACTTTAACAAGTTGTCTCATAAAGTATTAGAAATCTTAAGGTAAAGATTACCGTAAAATTGAAATAAATCTGAATATCTAAATCTTTTGAAATTACATGCTAAAGTAACTTTGTTTCGAGTTGCATTCTGACTGACCTTATCGGTCGAACGGGACAATCTACGCCAGGCAACAATAGTCGGGCAGCTTGATTAATGTCATCTTGATCCATGACCAGACCGTGTCTGTGCTCGGCATGCGCTGCAGCTACCCGCAGCCATTCTACTAACGGTGGCAGCACTACGTAAGCTCGTTCGTATGCTAATTCCTGTATTCCGGATCCGCGTTCGCCGTGTTCCAGCTTAAATATTTGGATCAGGTCAACAACACAAACTACGTTTAAAATTACTTTAAATACAATGTCTTTTAATTTTATACGTATAGTAATAATGATTAATTGTCGAAAAATCAATACACTATTTTCATTCAAGTCCCAAGATAAATTCCATACCTGCGAGCATCTCATGAAATAAAATAGGGCATATAACGCTCTCGTTGTCAGCGGTATGGGACAGCGTCCCGCTTGCGCTACCTTGGAAATCAAATCTATCAATTCTGACATCGATCCTACGCATGTCGTAAGCAACGACGGTTCCAGTGCTGTTTGAGCTACGTCCCGCCCGCTGCGCGACGACGACGACGACGAGTTCAAAGAACTTACACTTGCCCAACGAGGCATCGCGAGAGCGCCTGAAAAAGTAAAAGGTATTTCGATTCGACGCGTAATGCAATCAGCGTAAATTAATAAGATATCCACAATGCACTGTATAAACAACATTAGTACTATTATACATTTCTAAACATTTTTAAACGCTAAGTCCTTGTAGTTACATACATTTTTTTAATCTTCCACCAAATATTACAATTATTTTATAATGTAAAAAAAAATTAAATGGATAAAATCGAAATTAAATTTAAAACAAAAATTAAAATCAGATAAAAATCTGCATACAAAATTGAAATCGAATAAAAATCTACATTGAGAATTACTTAAATTTTACTTTTCATGATAAAAAAAATAAGATTACGGACCTGATGCCGTTCGACCGGCATTGAGATGCGCGTACGGTTGTAACAGGCCCCATAAGTCACCGCTGTTGGCTATTGCGTGCTCCAGCATTGTCGCCGTGAGGGTCGTATGCGGTTCGGTCGGCACGCACTGTAGCAGTATCTCCTCCAGGAGATTCTCGATCCCGGCCGTCAGATATATCGCGGCATACTCGTGAATCATCCGTCCCAGTCTCACGTCGGACATCCAACGTAAGAAACGTCCGACTGGCAATTGCAGTCCCGAACGGGATGCCTTCGATTGTTTCAGCTGATCACCAGATACAGCGAACATCGCGGCAGCTCGAAGGCAAGCCTTTAAAACAAGGCGGACATCAAACGACTATATTTAGCGTTAAGTGCGTTCATCGCGATTAGATTATCATCAGTTAGTACACCAGAACGTATTGCTCTAGTTTATCGGAATATTAGCAACAGAATATTATTTGATATCATGTAACTGAAGATAATCCTACGTACCTTGGTGCAAGAATCCGCCAGAGCCGGACAGAGTACGATTTTAAAGGCGCTGTACACTTCGTGCTTGCTACAGAGACCTATGGGCTTCGCCAATCTCTGAGTCTCGCGGCCGATCCTGACTAGCGCGCGTTGCAGGAGGTAGGAAAGCCGCGGGATCGTCTCCATCGAGACTTGCTCCATGTGCTCCCTTGTGCGGCCGTTTTGAAGTACACGTAGCACGTCGTGATGAGTCCACGGTAGCTGCTGCAGTTCCACCAGACGATTGTGAGAGTCCACCCAGACGAACTCATCGGCGCTCGTCACGTTTGTGTTGATCGTCTCCAGACTGGAGTGTCGCATCAGCCTCCTCACTGCCGGCTCCGAGCTCTCCGAGCCGCTCAGCGAGGAGTATGTAGACGAAGACTTGTGCGAGCGCATCGTCAGCTGTTGGATCGCCAGCTTTATGTCCTCCAAACCAGAACCCGACCATGGTACCTGCAGCTGCAAACGAAACAGAACGCTGAAAATGGATTTCCGGAAATTGAATAATACGAATTTTCGTATTAAAGAATCGATCGATTTTAATTGAGATGTGACTGGATCCCCATTAAATTTTACAAGAACAAAGATTAATATTGATTAATATTTACTAAAGTATTTATAGCATTAACGTTTACTTAGATTTTAATTAAAGTCATGGAAATATTGGTTCATTAATTCAGTTTCATTTTCTAAAGATATTTAAAAAAAAAAAAAAAAAAAAAATCATTCGTCAAATCTCAGTTCATTTGAATTAGAATCTGTAAGGAGGGCTCTAAAATTTGGATCATGTGAAACCTTAGCGGGAGTAGCTCGGTGCCGATTGCGACTCTGGCCGGATCGGCTCCTGCCGTTTCTCTGAGTAACCGACGCCGAGAGTCGATCGTCTTCGGGAACAGAATTCAGTTGCTGCGGACTATGAGTCCTATGATGACGATGCGGTGGCGAACTGCTGCTCGTGTGGCCACCAGTATCCGACATGCTCGCGTGTCCGGACGATCGATTCTCATCGGAGGAGCTGTTGCCGGTGCATTCCGGCCGCCTCTGCAAGAATCGGTAATCTTTTACGACGAGCGTCGCGGCATTTTTCGATTTCAATTCTTCGCAATTTTTTGCATGTAAAATATTTATAAGAAATCAGACAAACGTTAGAGAAATTAGATATACCCGTGGAACTTTGCCCTGTAGATAAATTGACATATTTTTATATACCTGAAGCGCACGGAGTTCGTGCAAACTGAGATGATGATGCTGGGAGTGACGTGGATGCTGTGGAGTCGGTGTAGGTGCTACGCTGTCCGTATCCCTTTCCGGTATCATATGGACCATATCGTGAACCCCGTTTTTAGGGGTATTTTCAGTGAAATCCTTAGAGTACGAGGGGCAATAAATCTCGCGATTGTTACCACCGCCCGGTCTGCAAAAGAATTTTTATCTTGGTTCGTCAAATAATATCCTCTTATTTAATTGCTCCTCATATTATCTATGTCATATTATCATTATGTTTTAAGAGTAAAAATTAACGACATAAACTGATTCTCTTGGCAGAGCTTATTTTTAGAATTTCAGGCTTAATTAGTAAAAAAAAAGTTAGAAAATTTTAAAAAGAAGCTGTTAAAGATTTTTTTTTACAGGAAGATCGATCACGGGTTTGAAAGAAGTATACGCTCGCAGTAACTCGTGGCTACATAGTTTAAAATTCTCGCTCAGTATAGACGGGTTTCTCTACCCGAACGACCATTAAATGATACCCGATATTCTGTTGGATAGGTCGGCGCCTCGTTAATTGTCGCAAGAATAATTCTAGCGGCTCGCTTATACGAACGATCGCCTTGCACCGTCTTATCGGAGACCTCTTTCCCCTTG